CATTGCCGCTTTAGCTCACCTGGGAGAGCGTAGCACTGAAGATGCTAAGGTACTCGGTTCGATCCCGAGAAGCGGCATTGCTTCGTCTTCACTTGACTGAATGTTTCTTTTTGTTTACGGGATGGAAGTGGCATTGCTTCGTATCCACTTGACTGAAAGTTTCTTGTCCTCACTCCTGATTTGATTACATGTTCAGTCAAAAAATTGCGTCCAACGGGAATCGAACCCGTGCCTCCAGCTTGGGAAGCTGAAATTCTACCATTAAACTATGGACGCATTCAGTTACTGACAAGGCGAAAAATATTTCAATATATTCGCATGTAGAACGTCAGAAGCAGAGGCGGTTTTTCTAAGAATAGGAAAAAAATAAAAAAATAATGCATACTGATTGTTTGCCCTTGAACTTCAGCGCGCTGAGCCCTTGGATTGCCCGACAAGAACCAACCTGCACCAACAGCCTCGGCGCTGTGAGAATGAATTGTTTATTTGGTTGAGAATTCGGTTGCTAACAAGTATGATCATGGACGATTTTTGTATAGAGCCAGGTCAGACTCTCCGTCACACGTGGCGTTATCGGCATACCCCCGTTTTGGTGTTTAGCATCAATGGCAATGTCCATGGGATCAATAAACAACCACGTGCGTAATAGAAAACGCGTGATCTTAGCATCAAACAAATAACAAAGAATAAAACACAACTTGACCATTCCTCCACTCAACCCCGCGTCACGAGCATGCTATGTTTCGCTCGCTCCTTTGTGATTCCCTCCCGTCGTGAATCACAACAGGCGCTCTTTCAGCTCCGTATCAAAAGCTTACTCCAGGATACTGATTCACTACTCTGTAACATCAGCATCTCCTCCACCGCGGCAGCTACGGTCATCCCAACAGACACGCCAGCAAGGTGGTGGCTTCTCTGTTGGAATGACCGCAGCTGCCGGTGGATGTAGCAGTAGCTCAAACTTTAACAGGAGATGCCGAAGTAGAAGTGAATCAGTATCCCAGAGGAAGCTGTTGGTATGGAGCTGAAAACGCCGAGCCTGTTGATGTAGAATAGTTCTTGTCGGGCAATCCAATGGCTCGGCACGCTGAAGCTCAAGGGCAGACCGAAATCGGAGGATAATGTCTTTGCCCCTCTCTTCGATGGTTGATACTTGATAGGCCTGTCAAGCCTCTCAAAATCGGTGGTGCGCGAGCCTGGGATGGAGTAGCGAGACACACCCACTTCATTGCGCGGTCCAGGCGGTCTTGCAACGGTTTCAAAAGGGGGAGGTAACAGAGATGCGCCGGATTTGTGAGCTAAAAGAGGCAAAAAGATGTTGATGTGTGCGTGCTTTGATGAATCTGCTCACCATTGTGGTTGACTGAAAATCAACCATCAAACATTTTCTTTTTGAAAGGTCTAGCACATAAAAAAAAAAAGGGAGACAAGAATCGTAATAGGTCCCACCGAGATTCGAACTCGGGTTGCGGGTATCAAAAACCCGAGTGCTAACCACTACACTATGGAACCATTTTCGAAAGTTTGAGACGGAATAGCACCTTTTGATTTTCTTGCCACTTTCAGTGTCTTCCTGCCTCCATCGTCCTACATGATGCCCCCGTTCCTACCTATCGGCACCCATGTCTTCTGACGTAGATACGGCCACCCTATATTTGTATCCCTTGTCTTGATGTTATCCTTATTTGTTAGCCCTGTCATTTCCCATTTTTATCCCTTGACATTTAGCTGCTTTTATTCTTACGTCACCTGTCAGTCTCCATATATATCCGAGACATCTTTCCTTCAGAATACATCTTCCCTTTTGGCCATCATTCTCTCTGATTTCGCCT